GTATGTATGTATGTATGTATGTATGTATGTATGTATGTATGTATGTATTGGCAGCCCTGACAACCTGTTGCTGCTGGGCTTTCCAAACCAACTCTTAACTTCTGGTTTCTGATTCATCTTGGCCATTTTATCAAGAAGAGACGCACCAGCGTTGGGAAGCTGGAATTTGATTGTACGATGGGTTCTTTTCTTTTGAATTTCTTCTGACTGTCCTTTCGGCACTTTCTTTTGTAGAAGACAGTGTCCAGAGGTTTCCTTTTGGAAAGGAATGTGGACTCGCATTCTGTATGAAGAAATTAGAAAAACTTCCTGATGATCTGGCGTAGTACTACCTGGGTCCAGGGTAGATCTTCTACCTGCTGAAACAGTTCCACCTTCATAGTGAGGGCTGCTGGCCAGTTGGAGGAACGATGGTGAATAACTCCATCATTATTATTATCGTTATTATTATTTTGAGATAGGGTGTATCTCACTGAATATAAGGTTCCTTGATTTGGCTAGGCTGCCAAGGAAGTTCCAGAAATCTGCCTGTTTATTTGTCTTTTCCCTTGGCCCCAGATATGGGACAGTTGCTCTTCACTGTGGTCAGCTTTTGTGCGGATGTTGGGGTGTTTTGAAACTCAAAACCTGGTGCCTGTACTACAAGCACATTACTGACTGGGCCGATCTACACACACATGCACACACACACACACACACACACACACACACACACACTAGTTGATTTATTTATTTTTTTGTAAATCCTTGTTCTCTTCTGGGTATCCAACCCAGGGCCTGACACGTAGTAGGCGAATACCCTACCACTGCACTGTACCAGAGTGCCACAAATAGAAACTGTTTCAAAACAAATGACTTCCTGCTTCTCTCTCTCTCTCTCTCTCTCTCTCTCTCTCTCTCTCTCTCTCCCAGTAGCCATTAATCTATCCTCAGCCAAATCCCTCTGAGATAAGCAACTCACCTCACGGTGTAGCTGCCCTGGTAGAGTGTTTGCTGACCCACGTGAAACTTTTGGTTCAATTGTCAATACAACATAAAGCATAGAAAATATATGCCTGCAATTTCAGCACATGGGAGAGTGAAAGGAGGGGATCAGAAGTTCAAAGCCATCCTTAGTTATTATGCTAATTTGACATGTCTGAAAGGGGAATTGCCAAGATCAGATTAGAAGCTTGTCTTGATTGTTAATTTATGTAAGGTGAAATGTAGCCCAAATAACAGAAACCCAGAGACATATATTGGGGTTCAAGCTGAAGATCAGAAAAGCAAAGCAGCCAACCACTACAGAGACCTTTTACCTCTACCAAATCTTCAGACCAAAAGGGCGAGATCCCATGTCCATGAAACCTCAGGCTCCATGCTCCACTGAGTTCCTGTCTCTTCTTGGTGCGGGAG